AAGACACTGATAAAAGAAATTAAAGATGACACAAACAGATGGAAAGCCATATCTTATTCATGAATTGGAAAAATTAATATTGTTAAAAGGACCATACTTCCCAAAGCAATCTACAGAGCCAAAGCAATCCCTACCAAAATAGCAAGGCCATTTTTTTTCACAGAACTAGAACAAATAATTTTAAAATTTGAATGGAAATACAAAAGACCCCAAATAGCCAAACAATCTTAGAGAAAAAGAACAGAGCTGGAGGAATCATACTCCCTGACTTCAGATGATACCATAAATCTACAGTAGTCAAAATAGTATGGTACTGGCACAAAAACTTAAATTTAAGATCTGAAACCATAAAATTCTTAGAAGGGAGTATAGGCGGAACACTCTTTGATGTAAATCATAGCAGTATTTTTTAAATCTGTCTCTTAAAGCAAAGGAAATAAAAGCAAAATTAAGCAAATGGTACCTAATCAAACTTAAAAGATTCTGCACAGTAAAGGAAACCATCAACAAAGCGAAAAGACAATCTACTAAATGGGAGAAAATATTTGCAAATGTTGTAACCAATAATGGGTTAATATCCAAAATATATACACAGCTCATACAACCCTAAAAAACCAAACGACCCAATTAAAAAATGAGTAGAAGTCCTAAACAGACACTTTCCCAAAGACACACAGATAGCCAACAGGCACATGAAAAGATGCTCAACATTGTTAATCATCAGAAATAAACAAATTAAAACTACAATGAAATATCACCTTACACCTGTCAGAATTGCTATCATCAAAAAGAACACAAATAACAAATGTTGGCAATGAGGTGGGGAAAAGTGTTGGTGGGAATGTAAGTTGGTTCTGTCACTGTGGAAAACAGTATGGAGGTTTCTCAAAACACTAAAAATAGAACTACCATATGATACAGCAATTCTATTCCTGGGTATGTATATGTGTGTGTGTGTGTGTGTGTATATATATACACACATATACATACATTCACACACACATATATATATATAAAACCTGAAAGCACTAATTCAAAAAGATACATGCACCCCAATATTCATAGCAGCATTATTTACAATAGCTAAGCGATAGAATCAACTTAAGTGTCCATCAACAGACGAATGGATAAGAAGATGTGGTATACAGACACAATGGAACGTTTAGCCATAAAAAAAGAATGAAGTTTTGTAATTTGCAGCAACATGGGTGGAGTGGGAGGGCATTATGCTAAGTGAAATAAATTATACAGAGAAAGACAAATACTGTATGATATCACTTATACATGAAATCTAAAAAATACAACAAACTACTGAATATAACAAAAAAGAAACCAACTCATAGATTTAGAGAACAGGCCAGTGGCTACCAGTGAGGAAAGGGAGGAGGGTAGGGGCAAAATAGTGATGGGGATTAAGACATACAAACTACTATGTAAAAAATAAATAAGCTACAAGAATATATTGTATAATACAGGGAATATAGACAATATTTTATAATAACTATAAGTGGAGTATAAACTTTAAAAATTGTGAATCACTATGTTATACACCTGAAACATATAGTATTATAAATCAACTGTAGCTCAATTAAAAAAAATTCAGTTGAAAACCTATGGTACTTCACTGGCCTTTTCTACTGAAGGGTCTTGAACTCCAGCTTTCATAGCATCAGCATCACAGACTACTAAAGTCTCCATTTAGCATTTTAGTCTCTTGGTACCTGCTTCCTGCTTTGATTCTTGGTCTCTTACTTTACACACATGCAGTTTAGAAGACATAAAAATGCACCAAAACAAAAATTCTATTCAGAAATCCAGACTCACTTTTCTTTGGTTCCCTTTTCTCTAGGAACTTGCCTCCTCGAGTCCTGGATGTTTCATCTCTCCAGCCCAGTGAGACCACCGCAGCACCAGGCCACCACTTTCTTCCATATTTCCTTGCCCCATGATTCGAATTGGGCAATGCTTTAAGGGAAAAAGCAGTGGCAAATATGAGACTCTCACTTCATGCACCTACTCTGAGATCTTGGCCCCTCAAGCTCTGGCTACCTTAGTTGCTCTCTTATCCTTACAATCTATTGTCTAACACTATTTTGTCCAGCTTTTACAACTGTTACCAACTACCCTGTCATAGAAGTAGAAATGCATATACTCTCTGGAAGTACTGATGTAGAATTTTTGTATTTTGTTTAGGGAGAAAGTCCTATTATTTCTGCTTAAAACCTCATCCTGATGTCTGATCTGAGATCTACCTGGATGGCAACAGAAAGGATTCCTAGGATTACCCTTTATCTAAAACCTTACAAATAGATCTCTAATTCTTTAATCTTTGAAGCCTGAGAGTAGTTTCTGTACCAAAGGTATCAGAGAAATACATACTTAGTCCTTTCTACCACAACCCTATTGTTCCTCTAAAGATGCTTATGGCTCCACCCTTCCACATATAAGGAAGTGTATGACCTTCATTCTTCTCATGTCCTTACTCCTTTTTATCTAGCTTTAGATAATTGGAAAACAACCAGCCCATCTGGTACAAGATAAACACAAAATAAATGTTGATGAAAGAATAAATAAATAAATAAAATTATTTCACTATATGAAAAATAGCTGAGAGAGTTCATTCTTCTCTTTCACTGATAACTCATCATTGTTTTAATTTTATTATTTTCATAAAAAGTCATCTAACATATACAGTAACTTGAGGCCACTCTCCCCAGGCTCTGTATTTACTGAGATCTAAGAGACCAAATTATGCAAATTTTTAACCCATATAAAGGTATGCCAACAAATTCATTTATTTTTCCCTGAATAATTTATTTGCTTATCATTTAGGTGGTCACCCAGAAGTGATTTTTGACAAAAACCTCACTGTATTCACTTGGCTAATCTTAACCAATATAAACAGTTCCTGCCATGTGAGTTTCTGTTTGGGGACACGACATAGCTGGTGAGATATTGCTGGATTGTTTATTGCCCTTTATTGCCTGCTGTCATTTTTAAAATTATCTCTCTTAAAGTAAATTTAGAAATAGGAACTCGTGTTTTACACTGAATTTCTGTCAGCGCCTGCTCTGTCATACTTCTAGAGCTTTGAACATTTCTTCCTATGCCTTCCATGTCCTCTGTTTTTCCTGTCTGGTGAACGGCTTCAGTGCTCAAAAATGTTACCTCCTTTGGGAAGCTTTTCCTAATACCCCAGCAACATCACATGCTTCCTCTTCTGATATCCCTTTTTTTTCCCCTGGTTTTCATTATAGTAGATGACAAGTGACCCTTGAACAACGTGGGAGTTAGGGGTGCCAACCCTCCACACAGGCAAAAACCCACATATAACTTAGTCAGCACTCTTTGTATACGTAGTTCCTCATATCTGTGGTTCCTCCGTATCTGGGGATTCAATCATCCATGGATCGTATAGCAGCGTAGTAATGACTATTGAAAAAAAACCCATATGTAAATGGACCCTGCAGTTCAAACCTATGTTGCTCAAGGGTCAACTGTATCTGTGTCTTTCTCTTTCACTAGACTCTCACAAGGGTGTGGAGTATGCCTTACTCTTCCAACTTCAATGCCCAACATAGCAACTAATACTTGCTAGATCCTCAGTACAATTTTTTTTAAAGATAACATTCACCCAATATCAAATTCATCCTTTTAAAGTGTACAATTCACTGGTTTTTATATTATTCAAAGTAGTGCATGCATTACCACTATTAATCCTGTATTTCATCACCCCAAAAAAGAAAACTCATACCCAATAGCAGTCACTCCCCATTTTAACTTCCCTTGAGTTCCTGGCAACCACTAATCTGTTTTCTATCTCTATGGGTTTACTTATTCTGGACATTCAAATAAATGAAATATACCATATGTGGCCCTTCTGTCTGGCTTCTTTCACTTATAAAACTTTCAAGCTTCTTCTGTGTTGTAGCATTAATCAGTACTTCACCACATTTGTGGGTAAATAATATTCCTTTGTGTGGATATAGCATATTTTGTTTATCTAGTCATCAGTTGGTGGGCATTAAGATTGTTTCCACTTTTGGACTATTATGAATAATGTCACTATAAATACTCATGTAAAAGCTTTTATAGGCATGTATATTTTCAATTCTCTTGGGTACACAGGAATAGAATTTCTGGTAACTCTATGTTTAACTTTTTGAGGAACTGCCAAACTGTTTTCCAAAGTTGCAGCATTGTTTTAAATTCCTACCTGTAGTGTATGTGGGTTCCAATTTCTCAAAATTCTCTCCAGCATCTTTTTACTATCGCATTGGTTATAACTATCCTTGTGTATATGAAAGGGATCTCACTGTGGTTTTGATTTTTTTTTCCACTTTTAAAAATTGTACTATAGTTAGTTATAATGTGTCAGTTTCTGGTGTACAGCATAATGGTCATGCATATATATACATATATTTGTTTTCATATTCTTTTTCATTAAAGGTTATTACAAGATACTGAATATAGTTCTCTGTCCTAAACAGAAGAAATTTGTTTTTATCTATTTTTATATATAGTGGTTAACCTTTGCAAATCTCAGACTCCCAAATGTATCCCTTCCCACCCTCTTTCCCCTGGTAACCATAGAATTGTTTACTATGTCTGCGAGTCTGTTTCTGTTTTGTAGATGAGTTCATTCATGTCCTCTTTTTTTCTTTTTCTTTTTAGATTCTACATGTGAGTGATATCATATGGTATTTTTTCTCTCTTTCTGGCTTACTTCACTTAGAATGACGATCTCCAGGTCCACCCATGTTGCTACAAATGGCATTATTTTATTCTTTTTTATCCTTGAGTAGCTGAATTTACCTAATGAATAATAATGTTGAGCATCCTTTCATGTGCTTTTTGGCCATTCATATTTTCTTTGGAGAAATGACTATTCAAATCATTTGCTCATTTAAAAATTTTGTTGCCTTTTTATTGTTGAGTATTGTGAAAGTTCTTTATATAGTGTTGATACTAGACCCTTATCAGATACATGATTTGTAAATAGCCTATTGTTGGCTCCAAATTGTTACCCACAGCTTCAGGCAGCCATAGCTGCATGAAATTGTTTTTGACAAATGCTCTCAGGAAAAAGCTGTTTTCACTGGGCAAGTTCCGTGTCAGGCCAAATAAAGACAGTCTTGAAGTGGGGTCTTCCATGGAACCACCAGACAGGTCAAATAATGACATTTCTCTGGGAAGATAGCTTTCCAATCCCATTCCATCTCTTCCACTTGCTTCCCAAGTGCTTATTTTCACCATGATTGTGGGCTGCTGGGTTTTAATGCTACCACAGAGATGGCTAGGGGTCTGGGGAGGTGGAATAGGGCACATTAAATCACCACAAAGTTTGCTTTTCTTATCATGATTTGGCCATTTTTCTTGAATAAATGCTCCTCAGGTTGCTATAAGGCTTTAATTTTCAGAGTTCTAAAAAAATATAAAATCTTATTTTTGTTTTTTGCCAATGTTTATGTTGCTTATCAAGGGGAGTTTTTTTTGGAGGCCCTTCCTCCACCATCTTTACTGACATCCTCAGTATATCTTCTTGAATAAGTGAATGAGTGAATAAATGAATTATACGTATGCCCACTGAATGCCCTCATATCCCCAATTCAGCCAAGATGTTCATTTTTTGAATTGACTAATCTGCTACAACCTGCAGACTCTGGGTTAATTGAGTCCTGGAACTGACTGCCGTACCAGGAAGTGAGACGGGACAGAAGTTGTTCTCAGTGCTGAGGTGCTTCATATTGGGTGTCCAGATTTTTTGTTCAGGTATGTAAGGTACCACCTGCTGCATTTCTTGTGGGGTAATTACTTTGTCTTCTTTCTAAGACTTTCAACCATCACTTTGATCTTGTGTTTGGTACTAAACACTTTTGGAACTAAATACTTCTGGAATTTATGTTTTTGCCTTGTTTGAGTAGCTATCTTGCTTTAAATTTAGACTCCATGGAGTCCTTGCCTTACTATTTTTGTATTAAGTTTTTCCAGTGCAAATATCAGTGAATTTTGAAGTTGAATCATCACCTTGTTTTGGTCTTTCTGATCCTTCTTGATCATCAACCTATGGCACATTTATCTGATCTCTTGCTTGACCACTACCCTGTTTTTTTACCTTGGAGATGATGCCAAACTTAGAAACACCTTTTTAATGATCTTTTGCCACCAATGCACTCTGCAATGCCACCACTTTCGCATGATGTAAAATCTCTAAGTGCTTAAGTCTTTTGGAAAAATTTTGTTACTAGCCTTTTGAAGACATACTGAATCCTCCTGGACACTGGGATCCAACACACTAAACGAGTACCTTTTAAATACGTTATTTTTAAAGCAAATATTTATATACCAGATACATTTGCCCACTGAAATATATTCTAATTCTGGAGATCAGTTTCCATAGACAGAAAAATAGATCCTTGCATTCAAAGGTAAACTGCAGTGCATTAAAATTTTGAAGAGTTTATTTGAGCAACCATTGATTTGAACTGGGAAGTGCCAAACCAAAAAGGATTAGAAGCTCTCTAGTAGTAAGAGCTAAGGGAAAGGCTTTTATGGAGCAGACACAGAAGCAAAGCAAGGAAGTTACCTGATTGGCTATTACTTATCTATTGCCTTATTTGGGAAATCTGGTTGGGCATGACTGATTGTTTTTAAGTTCCAGTTTCTTAACCTTGAAGCATTTACAGGAACTGATTCTCACTTAGGTTTCAGTTTGCTTACTTAAGCTACCAAGGCATTACAACCACCTTAGTATAATGCACTCTTTGTTTAATTATTTTAACACTTGCATACATTTAACATCATTAAGATTCCCTACTTTGAGATCCTTAAACATGCATTTTGTTCTTGTTATTTTATTGCATTAACTAAGTTTTTTTTTTTTATTCTTCTCTTTCTCCTCCCCAAACTTCTCTTAGCTTCTTTGTCCAACTGAAAATATGTACTCAACCTAGTTAAATAAATTACTGCTATGGAGTTCTTCTTCTAATTGACTATTTACTTTGCTTTTCAATAGCTATGCAATTTCAAATGCAACAGGTTATGTTTGATTAATTCACCTATACAATTAAGAATCGAATGGACTACTCCTTATATAATCTTCATAGGCACTTTAAGAGTTCACACAGATTATCTACCAGTTTCTTTATTAGGTGCTTAATCTTAACCTCAGTCGTTTCATCCTTTCTTTATGGGATTTAACATTGAAACAGCTAGATAAGGAGTATTGTTTTGAGTTCTGAGCCCCATCCCAAATTTGGGGAGAACAGATGAATATATATATGGAGATGGTTTTATTACACTTCTCTCAAACATTCATTACTAAATGTCTAGTATTTAAAAACACTGTTACCTCCTTGATGACAAAACTATTCTTGTTTT